CTTGAGTTGAGCTAGTGCTTTTGCACAAAGTAGATGCAATTGGTGAGCATATAGTTTCAGGTGTTGCAGCATTTTGTATTGCTTGTGTATTATATGGCAGACTTAGAATGTCCATACAGGTGGGTGGTGATTAACGATTCACTGTACCCACAACTGGTTATGACAATCATTGTAAGTGATACCTGTTATTGGATTTCACTTTGTGTCTGGACTTTGTATAAATGTTCGCTCAGTTGATGAAATATGAGAAAGGAAGACATTTTAAATATGTAAAAACAGATGAAACATGAAACATCTGCAAGCATGTTTGTATATCTTGTTAGTATCTGATGACATGTTGGTTAAATTCAGCTATTACCATATACAGGTCATATCTATTTTCGGTTGTAGTGAACTGAAATCTATCATAGATCATCAGTATGTTCAGGTTGATAGTGTGTACAGAAATAGTGCCATTTTTGCACACTCTTTGGATATCTCTGAAACAGTTCCCATGGGACTTTCATGTTTAAAACAAATCCTTGCATACAGGGTTCAAGGTGTAACTCACATCTTTGCTGCTACCATGTTCCATGAGGACAAATATAAGATTAATGAGGAAGAAAACTTACCTGTGACCAGCTTTGAGTACAGAAGAAGAAAGGGACATAGAATACTGAGATGCTAAGAATAACATTCCATAACATCAAGTAGGAAGCATGCATTAAATATTAAGCTAAAATAGGCATTAGTATACCCAAATCTCATAGAGGTATCAGTTAAATCCTAATATTTGCTTAGATAGGCATTATATTGGTTAATCCAGGCAATATGTTTCACAAGAATAGGATAAGAAATTGTCACAAATGGACCAATTATGTTATTTCATTGGTGCAGTTTCAAACATGGTTGTTATATGACCAGACTATCACATCCCATTGATGAAAGAATAAGGAGTTACAGGCTTTAGGCAACAGTTTAGCAGAAAAACATAATTTACACAAAGATAACAAAGCCAAATTTATACAATTACTAGAAAACATATATCTAACTACACATCAATTTTTGTCTAGCTAAATTACACACACGCTGTCCTCTACTCAAAACAAATTTTAAAAAACACAAATATACCAGAGTGCTGGCCATTATCAATACAATTCTCATGTCTGTTCATTTCCCTTATATAGGCTATAAGAGAAGCCAGACAGAAAAGAGAGTGACTTCACATGCTAACCATAGTCTACCCAAGTTTATGGCTGACTGCTTGTCCGACTATTAGGCTGTGAAAAGAACTTCCTGTGAACACAGAAAGAGAACAAACTCCACTATCAATGCGACAAGTCCAAACCAATAGCCAACAAGCAGTCAGCAGGATTAAGCATATTCCTTTTTCACACTCTCATTTCACACTTCATACACCATACACTAGAAAACTACACTATACGACTTATGAGAAGCATTTTCCTATCACTGGATCAACAGGACCAAACTATCACATCTCATTGTTGAAAGGATAAGGAGTTACAGGCTTGAGACAACATTCATGTCATATAGGAAGACAATTTTATTCTTGTAATTAGGTTGCAGTTAAAAGCTAGTTCTTTTTTATTTGAGAACACTTAAAGATTTGGGATTTTCAACATAAAAGCTATGGGTTTATTATTGTGAAACAATGTTGACTTCCAAATAACATTGATTTTTATTAGTGACTGCCAGAGGTCAATTATGAAATCTGACTTCAAATGCCAACTTTTTATAATTGCCAACTTATATATTTTTATGAATTGATTTATAGAATCAACTGAAGTCTTAACATTAAGTCTTTTGTGTTATTTGTGAAAACAAACCACTAGTGTTATTGATTGTTTTAGAAATCTCGTCATTCAAGCATCAAGTTTTGATATTTTGGACATTTTTGTTGCTTTTCAAATGCTTCATTTATGTTATTTGTCAATAAATTTTTCTCATAAAATGTTTTCTTTTTTAGCTGCCAATAGGATTTTCCATTCCTGCCTCAGATGTCAAGTACAAGTTATTGAATTAAAAACACTGAAAAACCAGTGGTTGTAGCCTTGATGTTCAACATTATAATAAAAACTGCCAACCATAAATTATCTCATGGTTGGCAGTCACAGTGTTAAGATCTTTAATTTTTTAAAGTTGTAGGCTTTGCTTTGGTTTGTTTTATGGCATATCAACCTCAAAGGATTATTTAATGCCAATAATTATATATATTTATATATATATATATATATATATATATATATATATATATATTTATATTAAGAAATGGACAAAAGTCCGACAATTTATTTATTAAAGACATTTTATGTTTAACTTTTTTTTTTTTTTTTTTTTTTTATAGAAATTTTCAAAGGACGAATATTTTCTATGAAAATTTCTCGGACATTCAGGCTGGTAAATGTTATTTAATACTGTTTATTATAAACAGAGCATTTACTTAAATACTTGTATCTATATAAAAAAAAAAAAAATGTTAAACATAAAAATGTCTTTAATAAATATATATATATATATACACTGCATGCCAAATTATTATCGAGATAACTTTTTTTCTAATATTTCAAAAACCATCCAATCAATTCACACAAAATTTTCACACAATGTTGGCAACACTGAGCTGCGCAATGTAAACAAACTGGCGCCATATTTGTTATAAGCACAGTGATTTGAGCATGCCAAATTATTAGAAAGGTTTAGTAAAATTCCCAGAATTGAGCAAACAAAACGTTTATTAATGTTGAATGTGAATGTTTATGATCAAAAGAACCTAATAAATAAGATAATCAAACAAATAATAACAGATACAAACAAAGGCACAGTTTTAAACAAATTAATAGGGAATGTGCTTTCCCTGTTTTGAAATTACTTGAAAAAGTTGACGATCCATAGAATTTGTAATTGTAAGATGTCATCTGCTCTAATGCCACAAGATATGTCAAGAATTGCTTCCCACAACTCAGCGTTGCTCCTGAATTGTCGACCATTGGTGTACAGTCTTCGCTTCATGATGCTCCAAAGGTTTTCGATTGGGTTCAAATCCGGAGAATTTGCTGGCTACTTCATTTTTCGAGGTCTATCGAAGCCTAACTGTTTCAAATATTCAGTAGTCTTGTGAGCAGTGTGTGAGGGAGCATTATCTTGCATAAAAAACAATGGCCCTTCTGAAGGCAACTCTTTGCCTTTTCATCCACGGTTCAAGATGCTCATTCATAAACGCTATGTATGCATCAGCAGTCATTTTGATGCCATCTGGTACTCTCCATGGGCCCACTAATGTATTTCCAATAATACCACCCCAGATCATTATGCCTCCACTGCCTTGTTGGCGTCTCAAACACTGATGGCGATTCTGTCCGTTCATTACCCAGCCTTTGCACCATCTATCTGGCCCATCAAGTGTTGCTCAAGTTTCGTCTGTGAACAAAACTTTAGAGAAGTCAATCTTCATATTGTCCTCGGCCCATTTCAATCGATTTTGAATGTGATTTCTCGTCTAAGGAGACTTCAATATAGGTTTGACTGTTGTTGATATTTCCCTCAGATACCGACACTGAGTACTTTTAGACACAGTAGGATCCCCAATATGACTGAAAAGCTCTTGACTGGTAAGTTTAGGGTTCTTCGTGGCCTCTCGTTTAAGTCATGACATGAGACAACATGAAATCACCCTCGGCTTGCCTTTATATGCCCTTTTGCGTACTTGTGTAGGGTCGGCGGTGAATTTTTCACTGTTTGATAACACTTTCCTATCATTTTAAAAATTTCTAGGGTAGATTTACCTTTTGAGAGTTCTGAGGTAATAGTTTTCTTTTCAGCATCACTTAAACTGCTTTTACGGCCCATCTTTTCACTAAATTCTTATACTTTTCTAATAATTTGGCACGCTCAAATCACCGTGCTGATAACAAATATGGCGCCAGTTTGTTTACATTGTGCAGATCAGTACGAAAATTTCAGTGATTGCACAGCTCAGTGTTGCTAACATTATGTGAAAATTTTGTATGAATTGATTGGATGGTTTTTAAAATATTAGAAAAAAGTTATCTCGATAATAATTTGGCACGCAGTGTATATATAGGAATAAAAAAGTATTTATAAAAGAAATCACTTTGTAAATCCAGTTTTAACATTTTTGCAAAGAGGGTTTCTGTCAAGAGACAATTCCATTATTGGTATTATTCTTTCCTTTAGTAAAAAATTGCAAGCAATATTTATTCTGCTCAAAATTGCTATCAGGTTTGTAAAATTGCTGTTTTCAGATAGCTCATTTGGAAAATTGTAGGCTTAGTACTGCAAAACAATATTGTCTTCTTAATTGATTTTTATTATTAAAGTCCTTAATATGCTATATTACTTTCAGGCTCTGAGCAACATTTTTAGTTTTCTTATTTATAAACCTGTCTATATGTATTTTTTTTTCTTTTTCATCTAAGATCTTATTATTGACAAGACGGACAAGAACTAATTAAATCCAGGGATTTTCTTTTCATGTGTGTGTTTACATCTGCAGAGCAGAACAATTAAGAAAATGTATGTTATGAAGCCAGTGAGTTATTCAAACTTGGACACCCCATCAGGTAACATGAAATATGAAGTAGAGCGATTTTTATCTTTTAATGACGTGAAGATGTTGTTAACAGCTTCACAACTATCAAACAAAGGTTTCTTTTATAATTTACAAACTCAGAAAATTACTTGCTTCTCATGCAAAATTGAGCATGAGGCATCAGTTTGGAATATAAAACATGAACCTTCTTGTAAATTCAAACAAGATACCATCACCTTTCATGTTGACAAGAATTTTGAATACAGCTCAACCAGTTTTCGACTTCTTTCAACGGATTCAATTCTACCATCTCATTCTCCAACACCTGCTAGGGAACTTGATATGAAAAATGAAGAAGACAGACTAAGAACTTTTGTTACATGGGACAAGAATGTACCAGTGGAACCAACTGATTTAGCCCGTAATGGATTTTACTTCAAAGGATTTGGCGATGTTGTCATATGTGCTTACTGTAAACTGGAACTACGGAATTGGGAGGAAGGGGATAACGTTTACACAGAACATCAGCGTCACAATCCCAACTGTTCATTTTTGGCAACAGTTTTAGAAATATCCAATAAATTATCAACGCTGAACATGAAATATGAACAAAACAGACTAAAAACCTTTAGCAATATTTCGGGTGTTTTTGCAGTTTGTACAAAATTGCTGGCACAAAATGGCTTCTATTACACTGGTCGCAAAGATGAAGTATCTTGCAGTTCTTGTAACTGCAAATTAAGCAATTGGAAAAAAGAAGACAACATTAAGCAGCGTCATCAGAATAAATCAGCAGATTGTCCATTTGTTCAAGATGAAGTGGATAATTTATCTCGTTATCAATCAAATGTCATATTCGATCGCCCGAAGCATCCACAATTTGCCTTGTTGAATGATCGTCTAAAAACTTACGTCAATTGGCCAGCAGACAAAAAGCAAACACCTCAGATTTTAGCTGAAGCCGGGTTCTATCATACTGGTAAGCAAAATATTTCTTTTAATTAACTGAATGTTTAAATATTTGTTTTCATATTGCTTGCTATTATTTTTGAAAACAGAACTAATTTTAATAGCCTTGCATTAACATTGCTATGTTTTATCTTTCAAATCTGTTACTTATAAAAGACATAGAATAATATACACTATTATTTCATTTGAACTTGGCATTTAAAAAAAAAACACATGAATTGATAATTCCTTAATTTACTATAGATTATTTTTTCTGGGTTTTAGAACATAGTTAAATTTAAAATATCCAAAGTCTCAGTACTTTTAAGGCATTATGAAAAAGATTTCATTTTATGTGATATGTTCATTTTACCATTTTCAGATATCACTTCTTTGCATCTTTACTTCACATGATTTTTCGTGTTGTTATTATTATTATTAATATACTTAAACATTGAAGAGTTTATATTTAAATATGCCCTGCAAACCAGGAATATGATTTGAAATATAGAAAAAATAAAGTAAAAAAACTTTTAACAAAGAATTTTTGTGGGTCTTTAACTAAACCTGTGTGCATATATATATATATATATATATATATATATATATATATATTACTTTATTGATTTATTCTTTAAATGACTACTTCTTTACAATATATATATGTGTGTGTGTGTTAATATTTAAACAAATTATACAATTGACTATAATACTTTAAATCTTTCCAAATTTTCTTCTAGCAAATTATTGTCAATCATAAATGTCACATAAGAAAATGACAAATTTATGTTTGAAAAATAATTCTAATTAATGGAACAGTTATGATGAGAGCTGAAAATAAAAACAGCTGAAAAAAAATACTCTCTTTGATTAATTAAAATGATCAATTGTAAGTTAATGGTGCAATTTTTACGGTGCGACACACCTTCATGTGGAGATGGGTGTTGAATGACGTTAAACACTGATCAAGTCTGTCTTTTATTAACACTAATGGATATGCTATGGAAAAAAAGATTTATTCTCCCATTTGTATTGAAGGTAGTGGAGAGAGAAATTAACAGGAGATAACTGATAACTGACATCCATTAGACATGACACGTGTAACTAGAACAGTTTACCCCAGTGAGCGAAATAAAGGGTTCAGTTCGACATTCCAACCACCTGAAGAAGGCCGGAGCGTACAACGACCGAAACGTTGTAATAAATATGTTGACAAAGATGAGGACAATAGTCCAAATAATGTAAATAGTGTTATTATTAATTGAAAAATACATCATAAAGATGAGTCAAATCAAGATGTATTGTCAATTCAATTAATAATAATTCCAATGCTAACATAGGAAACATTACAAACTAGTTATGCTTTTATTTTAGTAAGGATAATTAAGTTTCTTGAAGTAAAGAATTTAATGAACATCCTTGACATTGGTTTTGGTTTAGTCTCCTTTGTACCATGCAATACATTTATGCACCATAGGTGTATTTTCATAATGAAAAAATGCTCTAAAAATGTAAGAAAATTATTATTGTCATAGCTATTTATACTTCCTTAAATAAATGCATGGAACAAATGTAAATGCATATGTATGTCTGTCATGTGACAATAAATGTGTTTATACTTGTCTAAATTTTTATCTATTATCAAGTATTTGTAACATTATGTTAGTAATGTCTGATAAGAATATGAAACTAAAACTTTATTGTTTATTCACTTTTTGGTTCCATGTTGGCCACAAAGGTATATAGTTTTTTGGGTGACTTTCTTTAAATGTTTGATCTTCTTCTCACATTTATTTTACTTCCTGTCATCCAGTTGTTTTTGCATATCCTAATTTCAGCTCATTTGGCTTCCTATTTCATGTCAGTAGAGCCAATCCATTGAAGCCCAATTCTGTATTTGGTGATTATGAGGTTACTTTCAAGTTTAACCCTCTGAGATATTTAACTCTATTGGTCGTCTGATGTGAAAGCAAGAACAAAACTTACTTTGGTATCTTTTTAGATAACTTTTAAGTACTCAGTAATCTTAAAAAATTTAGGAAAACATTCTCTGTAATCTAATGTTTTATTGAATTTTAAACATTTTGGCTTTAAATTTATAGTTATTGCTCATATTTTCTGATGATGTGTACGGTTGCCCGTATCTTCAAAAATTTATGCACATACAAAAGAAGATTCAAAATTTTAAAAAATATTGGTGTTTGATAATTTGTACTAAGCTTTTTCATTTATGATTATTAAATATAGTTTTTACTTAATAATATCATCTAAAAGGGTAGAATTAATGCAGAATTTTCAAAGATTTAAAACTTTGATTATTAACTTAAATTATTCTAATTAAAATTTAAAAAGAAAAGAAAACAATTCTTGTAAAAATTCATTATTCAATGTAAAAAAATGTTTCTTAAATAGTGTTAATATATCTTATTCATAAAAGCAATTAAAAGCTTTTCTAATTAAATAATGCTTAGTTTTATTGTATTTTTTTATTTTACAATTCAGTAAATGGTTAGTCGTGGGAATGATATTAAACTGCATCTGTATCCTGGACATGATGTTAAACTGCAATCATGGGTTTTTCACAAGACAAGGTCACCTATGTCTTGGGTATGACATTAAACCAGGCATAGTATAGGAATCAAGATGGATTAGAAACTAATTGTTTGTATGAGGAAAACTTCACCTACATGCCGTCAGCTTATAAGCTGTATTGTAAGCCTACAATCTTTCCATTTATAACCAATGTGGTGCCTTCAAAAAAAATAATATAGTTTTTCTATGAAAAAAAAAAAAAAAACTATTAGGAAAAAAATAAATTCCTTTTAGACTACTAACAAAAATCATAATCCACAAACTGTTTACACAAAATGCTGTATCTAAACTACCTTCCATACAAAAATATGTATAAAATTGCAATATATAAAGAACACGTTTACAAAAACCAATTCCTAAAAACGAAAAATTCTCCTTAATAGGGCTGCCTGTTTGCTGTGGGTGGCAACCCATGACGTGCAGGGATGGAGTCCTGGTGACTGAATGACTCCTGACCTAGTATAAAATACCAGGAGTTTCCATAACACGCCACTTTGGTCCCAACCTGTGATACACAGGTGGTGGAATAGCCCATTCCAATCTAATTAGTAAGGTCTACTGGGGATGAAAGAAAATGGCTAGAACATGGCTGCAAATCCTTACACCATACTAGAGTAGATATGGTGGAGGAATGTGGGTACTTAGAGCCACTTTCAGCCTGACTTTACTGTCTATGTAGTTCTAGCAGATCAGGGTGAATGGAATTAGTCACACCCTGATAACATCACTTAAGAAGGAATGAGGCAGGTGGGGAGCACAGATGGTGAATACGAAAGCAAAATTATATGAGAAATCCTTAAAAAGATCCAACAAACATTATGAAATGGAAAGTGACAATGAAATATCAGAAAAAAAAACAATTTCCAATTTTCATAGTCATAGAATCATTAGAGGGTGAAATATCAAAAGTGTCACCTTTTGTGTTACAGAAAGTTATATCAGCCATGATAGAACCAAAATCAGTAAAAAAAAAAAAAAGAAAGAAAAAATAACACACTACTAGTTCAGGTAAAAACAAAAAAAGACAAAGAAAATATACTAAAAATCAATCAAATAAACAACATGAAAGTAAAGGCTTACCCCCATCAATTCCTTAATTCTTCTAAGGGAGTAATAAAATGCTCAGAACTGTCGCTCTGCTCATTGGAAGAAATTAAAAATGATGACACCCTAAAAAGACAAGGCGTAACAGATGGTGAAAGAATACATATAAAAAGAAATAGCACATCAATAAACATACATTTTGACATTCAACAAGCCTACCCTACCGAAAGAAATGAAAATAGGATAAATAATATCCAAGGTAGAGCCATACATTCCCCCCCCCAGATGTCCCGACTGCCAGAAATTTGACCATCTACAAGATCAATGTACAAGAGTACCAGTCTGTTGAAGATGTAGGGAATTTAAGACTGAAGAGTCACTCTGTGAAAGGCCCTCCTTTGTACCCAAACTGCAAACAAAACCACTCAGCAAATTCTAAAGAGTGTAACACCTGGACAAACAAATAATAATAAAATACACACAAAACATCTTGTTCCAAGAAGCTAGAAACAGGTAAAAACTAACTCACTTCCAATCTCATATGCAAATACTACTAAAATAACAAATTACCAAAATGACATACAAGAGAACAACACATAAACCAAACACCCAGAGTTAAAACAAATTCTATCCTGTCAACCTCAAACAAAAAAGTATCTATAAGTACAAAACAAATAACTCTGAATGCTCCAATCCAAAGTACAAAAATCCTTCAAGAAAACAGAACCCGCCAAACACTCACAAGAGAAAGAAAAGGTTCATAAAAGAAATAACACAACCTAATACATCTGTAGCCTTCTTATTTGTCAGTCCATCCAAAGTCCAATCCCCATGGCTGATTGATGAGTTGGTCACTTCGATCCAAGCCCTGCCCTATCCCATGTTGTGTTTGATTTTGATCATAAGGCTGGCAAGGATCTAATCATCAACAGGTATTGATTTGCTCCTGGTAGAGTGAAGCCACAAGTAAAAAAAACAATTTGGGTAAAAGAAAATGTTTTTATATATACGTTCCTTGGTTAATTGTTGATATTAAAAATTATTAGTTTTTCATGCAGAAAATATCGACCCTTCCCACTTTGTAAGTTCAATGTGATAATTTGGTTGGTTTAGTTAAGTATGAGCAAGGCTACTGACATCAGGCTGATGTCAGAGGTTTCTTTCAGGCAAGAAGGCATGTGAGATCAGGTGAAGTGGTCGTCTCTTGTCCAGTGTCTGGAACAACTGAGTCAGCAGTTTCGATCTCCTGTTTATATGGACCTTCGCCCGAAACTGGCATTGGGTACAACATTGCCTGGGGTTCTGCTGATTCCTCTAATTGGCAACAAGATCCCATTGTTGTCTGGTCCTAGGAAATTAAATACATGCCCAATTTTGGGGAGATCCCCTCTTCTA